AAAAAAAAAAAAAAAAAAAAAAAAAAAAAAAAGACCATGAGGCATAAGCCTGGTGGATTTGGAGGTTGGGGAGGAGGTTAGTACAGCTGGAAAGGGGAAGGAGAGAGAGAATGGGGGAGGAAGAAGAGAGAATGAGGCTTGGAAGAGCCGGCCTCATTGCTGGGCCTCCGGCAGACCCAGCCTGAGCCTAAATAGGATAGGCGCTTAGTGAGAGGAAATGAATGACATCAACTGAGTGAGGGGCACCTGGGAAGACCCATAGTTCCTGTCTCCCAGCTTGGGGTTCCCCACTGCCCTGCACCATCACCTCAAAGGCCTGGAGGGGAGGAGGGAGGTCCAGAACTGCTGGAGGGTGACAATCTACCTGCATGACCGCACCTGTCCCTCCCAACAGTCCCATCAGGTCAGCTTTCTTTTCCCCATTTTACAGATGAGGACATTGAGTCTCCGCGAGAAACAGCTACGTGGCTGTGGCCACGTAGCTGTTAAGGAACAGAGCCCCTGGCTGGCCTCTTCCAATGAGTGGTGGGCCCTCAGGACTGTGACAGGCTGGAGAAGGTCCTTCACAGGTCCAACCTTCCCACAGGGTGAGTGTACATTCAGCAGAGCACATAGCCACTTCTTTCCTCCCCCACGTCACCCCCCTTAACTTACCAGTGCACAAGGCAGTTCCCCCCATCAAGGCGGCAGCAGTGGATGAAGTTGATACATTCTTTGAAGTGCTTTTTGCTAGAGGAGAAAGCAGTAGGGTAGGGAGCACTTCAGGGCAGATCTCTCAGGAGTTGTTCTGCTCCCACCCCAATTATGGGATAGCAGGGGACACAGAACCCTGGGGTCCCCAGGTCAGCCAGCACATGCAGTGGATAGGGGCCAGTACTTGGCATGAGGTGGAGGTGTGTGTGTGAAGGAAGAATGGTGGCATTTCAGGCAGTGAGCGAGGCCAGTCATGGCAAATCTCACCATCTGGGCAGGAGTGCTCCTCCTGTGGACACTGTTTTCATGGTGCGTTTATTGGGGCCTTTCAAAGAAATGTGTGGGAGGAAACACAGGGGTCCCATTCCTCTGGGGTCTGCAATCAGAGCACCTGGGCACAATGATGGGCAGCAGCCAGCTGGGAGCAAGATTCCTAAGGGGCAGGACTGTCTGCCTGGCTCCATCCCAAGCGGAGAGGCACTACTGCTGATGCCACAAACAAAATCCCATTATCTGAGCTCGATTACACTCCAGACCCTATCCTCGATCCTTAACCTGTGTCATCTGATCTTTGAACGCCCTCCCCGACTCTGATCATGCACTCCTGATTTACAGGTGAGGCCCAGAGAGGGGAAGTGATTTGTTCAAGGTCACATAGCAAGTAAATGGTAAAGCCTGGCTGGAACCCAGATATTAGCCCCATGGCCAGGAACAGGCTGAATGTGACCCCTTCTTTTCTGAGACAGTTTCGTTCTTGTTGCCCAGGCTAGAGTGCAATGGCTCGATGATCTCACCCAGCAACCTCTACCTCTTGGGTTCAAACGATTCTCCACCTCAGCCTCTCAAGTAGCTGGGATTACAGGCATGCACCAACATGCCCAGCTAATTTTGTATTTTTAGTAGAGGCGGGGTTTCTCCATGTTGGCCAGGCTGGTCTCGAACTCCTGACCTCAGGTGATTTACCTGCCTTGGCCTCCCAAAGTGCTGGAATTACTGGCGTGAGCCACTGTACCCAGCCTGAATGTGACCTTTTCAAATTGGCCTGTGCAGCAGGTCCCAAGGTACAGTGTCCTTTCCCCATTTCATAGCTGATGAGACTGAGATTCAGGGAAGTCAAGAGTCTTGGCCAAGGGCATATCACAAGGGCATGATTGAGACAGAGTCAAACCTGGGACTGGTCGAGTTGACCACCTGTGACAGCCTTCTGGTCTGAGTACTCTCGGTCCTCTGTCAAACCCCCTTCCCCTCCCCACCACAGGAGGCAGCTGTCTGTCCGTCTGTGGGTCCATCCAGGGGAACTTACATGGGTACCTCAGGGGTATCAGCCACCGGGATGCGAAGGTAGGTGATATCCTACAAAGATGAAACACACTCAGGCGGGGGAACTTGCCAACAGCCCTCCCTTACCCTAGTCTGAGCTGCCCAGTCAGGAGATGACTCTAGCCCAGTTCCCGCCCCTCTCTGGCCCACCGTTGTCCTCTCTGTCCAAAGAAAGTAGATGTCATCTCTGAGGCCTGCTGTGCCCATTTGTGACTCCTGAACCTTCTAAGCAGATGGTGTCTCCTAACCTCATTGGCAACTTGGGCATGAGGTAACCTATCCCTCCCAATAGGGACCCAGGGACCTTTATCAGATATCCATTAAAGGGCTACTTAAAGGGACTCCCTCCTAAATGAGAATTACAAAATTACATTGTAAAAAAGGTAAAGCAGGTTTGATTATCTTGAAACAGAAGTCATGAAAACAAGTTTACATTTCATGAATCATGGTTATAAAATGATGTGCTAATTATGAGAATAATCAAGGAATACATTGTCAGGATTTTTTTTCCAACAAACTTGCTGTGATGTCCTTTGTCTTCTGATTAGCCAGACCATATCATGAAGGTTATTTTTGCTCCCTTCTGAGGCCCTCCTTGCTTTTCTCAAGAAACTGTCTTAACATTTTGATACTCAAATGGCTCTTTTCAGGTGCCTGGGACCACCAGCCAGGTTCTCACTTGTCCATGGCTTTGTGTGAGATTCCAGCCCCTCTCCCACTCACATTCCACAAGGTCGTGACATCCTGCGTCTTTGGCAAGGTTTGCAGTTTCACTTTGCAACACATTTGGCCTTGGGTTTGAGTGGTATGATCAAATCCTGCTTGGTAAAGTTGCTGATGGAGGGGGAGGGAGAGACGCTCGGGAGAAGCAGGAAGAGCCATAGGAGCAGAGACTCATTGTGCAGGCTGTCACTTCATTAGTAAATACACTCATGACTTGACAACCTTCCCCATGCAATCTAGTGACTGCTTACTCCAAATACTCCCAAACAAGGCTGCCCTGTGCGGCAAAATACGACTCCAGTGACCTGGAAATTTCTTCTCTGAATGACATTGAACATCATAGATTATTGGAGGTTGCTCTTAGAGAGTATCAAATCTGATATATGGGAAAACTGAGGCCTAGAGAAGGTAAGGACCTTGCCCAAGGTCACACAGCAAGTCTATGGCAGAACCAGGTCTTTGTTTCAGATCTCCAGGACCTTTTCACACCCACGGCTCTTTCTCTTCAGTGGATGACATAGACTCTAATAGATAAGGGGGAAGAGGCTCTGTTTATGGGCTAAGAATATGATTAGCTTTGCTGTAGTATCATTTGTAATTTGTTAGACACCTATTTACGCAGTTCTCAACCACTCAGTGAAGTGGGTACTGATGTAAAGTTCCCATTTTACAGATCAGGCAACTGAGGCTTAGAGGGAGCGAAGTGCTGTCCCCAAGGTCATAGAGTGAATAAATGGTGAAGATGTTCCTGACATGAGCACGTGTAATCTGGATTTATGGCTTTCCTCTGCTGGGTCCTAACACCCTCCTTCCCCTTTCCCAGGACTTGATAATACCAGCAGCAACCCCTCTGGAGGGGACCGCACTTTACAGTGTGAAAGCATCTTCACCATCCTGCAGTCCCTTTGCATCCTCACAACAGCCCCCTGGGGGCAGACAGAGCTGAGGGGTCAAAGGCCCAGAGAGGTGAAGTCACAGCCCAGGCTTGCATAGCAAGACACAGAGCACAGAGTCATCCATTTGGACTCATCCATCCAGTTGGGCCATGGGAAGCCCACATGGGGGTCTTTTTGAGGGTCAGTGTGAGACTTCTGGTGCTAGATGGCCTGTGTTCATATCCCAACTCCTCAGCTTCCTGGATATGTAACCTTAGGTGAGTTAATTGACCTCTCTGAGCCTCAGCTGCCAAATAGGGACGATCATGTAAAACCGCCCAGTGGTGGAGACCAAATGAGTTAACATGAGTCACGAAGGAAGCATCGCACCCAGCACATAGTAGATATTTGATAAACTGGTCTGCACCCTCCCACCTCCGCATAGCCCTGGGATGGGGGTAAGAAGTACCTGCAGCAGAGGCTGGGGTGACTCATGGATAGAGATAATGTGTGTGATCTTATTCCGGCCCAGCTGATCCAGGTCTTTGGCATCTGAAAGAAACAGGATGCTAGAGCCAATCTGGCCGGTGTGACTTATTTGTCCCTGACGGCCAGTTGCAGAGGGAGTTCACTGCCTGCCCAGCTCTCCTCCTCACGCCTGCCACTCCACCTTGGCCCACCCTCTGCTAGCTCCTTGCTCCTCTTGCATCTGGGGCACATGCAAGTAAACAGTTCAGCATCTCCCCAGCCTTGCTCATGCTGTTCTTTCGGTCCGAAACACCCTTCCCAGGCATACTCTTTGACCCAGCAATTCTACTTCTAGAAATCCTGTCTACAGAAGGGCTTGCTCACACAGAAAGCCATGTGTGGAGGACGATGTCCTCTTCAGTCCTGCTTATATCACAAATAGTTTAAACATGGGAACAGCCTCATGTTCATTAAAAAGGGACGGGATGATTGATGGTACAGACATACTTTGGCACAGTGTGCAGCCATTAAAAAGTTTTATATGCTGATGTGCAGTGATGCCCACTTTTTTTTTTTGAGACAGAGTCTTGCTCGTCGCCAGGCGCCAGACTGGAGTGCAGGTGGCACGATCTCGGCTCACTGCACCCTCCGCCTCCAGGGTTCAAGCAATTCTCCTGCCTCAGCCTCCCGAGTAGCTGGGACTACAGGCACGCACTACCATGCCCAGCTAATTTTTGTATTTTTTAGTAGAGATGGGGTTTCACTATGTTGGCCAGGCTGGTCTCGATTTCTTGATCTCGTGATCCGTCTGCCTCGGCCTTCCAAAGTGCTGGGATTACAGGCATGAGCCACCATGAGGGGCCAATATTATGTCTTTATCTACAAAGATATATGAACAATGACCCAGGGATGTACCCATCAGTGGCCATCTCTAGGGGCTGCATACCCAGCATATACAGACATTTTATATTCAGAATAAATAACACATGTCCCCTCTCTCTCCACTTCATCATTCGATGAGCATTTACCATATCCTAATCATGTGTATACTTTGGCTGTCCACTGGAGGTCTGGTAACAGCTTCATGGCTCCTGCCTTTATGGGGCCCGCACACTTAAAGAGGACTCAGACCTTACTTGGCCAAATACAGAAATCAATGTGGCATGAGTGGCTGAGGGAGCTCCCAGGAAGGAAGGGACTAGGGTTTACGAGGGTGGGGCACCTGAGCCCCTCCCTCTCTGAAGCTTTCTCTGACTTCGCAGATGGAAGTGATTTTCCCACCTTGGGTCACCCAAGCCCTGGACCAGCTTGCCCCTTAGCATGTTTTCTTTTTTTTTTTCCTTTCTAAGATGGAGTCTTGCTCTGTCACCCAGGCTGGAGTGCAGTGGCATGATCTCAGCTCACTGCAACCTCCGCCTCCTGGGTTCAAGCAATTCTGCCTCAGCCTCCCAAGTCGCTGGAATTACAGGCATCCACCACCACGCTTGGCTAATTTTTGTATTTTTAGTAGAGGTGGGTTTTCACCATGTCGGCCAAGCTAGTCTTGAACCCCCCACTTCAGGTGATCCACCCACATCTGCCTCTCAAAGTGCGGGGATTATAGGTGTGAGCCAATTCGCCCAGCCCCCTTAGCATACTTTCTACCCGTAGCCAAAGGTCTGTGTTCAGGTCTGCCTGCTGGCCACCAGCGTAGAGGTCTCTGAGGAACAAGGTATCTATACATCCGTGTCCCCTCCTCCTGACTGAAGATTGCAGAAGGGATGGATGAGAGAATGGGGAATGCAAAGCTTGCCAGCTCACCGCCCCTCCACTTGCAGCTCCAGGCTGCCCAGCTGCTCCAGGGCTCTGGGGGTAGACAGCGTTGGTGCTCGTGACCCTGCTCACAAGGGAACCCAGCCCGTCTCCAGAGACCTCTCCTCTGACAAGGAGGAAGTTATGGGGGGAAGAGCTCCCAGATTCCCCGCTAGAAGCAGCACCCCCAAACAGACCTCAACTCAGAACCTTAGGGCCAGAAGAGCCCTCAGCAGCCTGTGGACCTTTTGTGCTGAGGAGGCGGCTGAGGCTTAGCGCAGGTGTAGACCTGCCCAGGTCCACTGCCCAGGCCCTGAGCCTGTTGCTCTGTCCCTTTGGTCTAGCGGTAGAACACTGGGGAAGGCTGAATGGTGGGGAGGGGTGTCAGTATCAGGTCCCCATGCTCCCTCCATGTCCCTTCAGGCCTGGGGACACTCCCCTTCACATGCACCCCTTTGTCCTCCATCAGTCCTTTCCTCCTCCCAGTTTGGCACCGCTTCCCTGCCCCCAACCCCATTCCGGAGGTGCATGGGCTGGGGCATGCATGGTGGACACAGGCCTGAGACAGAGTGCCATGGCCTTGGGACAGAGCAGGCAGTGCTCACCAATGAAGTTTCCGAGGTAGAGTCCAGGGAGTACCTAGAGGAAGGACAGGCAGGGGTCAGTGGGACAGGGGCTGCACCCCCTTTCACCCTCAGGAGAGCTGGGGTGCCCATAGTCCCTCTCTGTCCCATGAAGGGTATGGACCTCGGGGCTCAGGGAGCACCCTCCTTCCCTTTGTGGGCCCTGGGTCCTCTGTGAGAGGGGTCTGGGGTTCTGGGGAAGGGGGGCCAGGGGGGTAAGTTAACCAACAGGGGGACCAAGTGAGGCCAGCTTGGGTATGAGAGGGGAGGAGGAGGGCAGAGGACGGGGAGCAGAGAGAGGTCTTAGGGGGTCTGAGGGATCTTAGGAGGAGAGGAGAGAGGGGGACTTGCAGGGTGGGGAGATGGAGATTCCGGGATTGGGGAGGCAAGAAGGTAGGGACAGGCACAGGCGGGAAGGGATGGAGAAACAGCCCGGGAGAGAGCTGGAGAGTCAGCGACAAGAGAGAGGGACACATGCAGGCAGAGAGCCGGACTCACTGGGAGACAGCCTGGGAGTGACAGCCACAGCAAGACACAGCGAAAGGCTCAGAGTCACGGAGCGAGGAGAGAGGGTGGACACTGCAGGGACAGAGACGCAGGGTCAGAGAGGGAGAGACGCAGGGTCAGAGGAGAGGCAGAGACGCGACAGCCGCGGACTCGAGGCACAGGGACACGGAGGTGCAGCCGCACAGAGACGGCGAGACCAGAAGGTCAGAGGCGGGCGGACAGAGCTGGTCAGCGCCGGCCGCGGCGGCCGGGCGGGGGCCGGGGAGGCTGCGCGGGGCCCGCCTCCTACCTTGGTCATGCCATTGCCCATGATCCCGGGGGCGGCGGTCCGGGCGCACCCCCAGCTTGCCGCCCGGAAGGCGCTCGGGTCACAGCTGCTCTGTCGGCCCAGGCCCGGCGCCTGCAGCCTGGCGGGGAACGGGGGGCCTGGAGTCCGCGGCCCTGCCCAGCCCTGCCCAGCCACCGCCACCGCCCGCCGACCCCCAGCCTGGGAGGGAAATGGTGGTGGAGCCGCCGCCGCCGCCGCCGCCGCCGCAGGCTCCTCCTACCCTTTCGGTCATGTGGGGGCCCCCCCTCTGGTCGCGGCGGGGGGCTGGACAAAGCCCCAGTGTGCCGGGCCCACGGCCCGCGGGACAACGGCAGCTTGTTGGGGCCGCGTGGGGCCGCCACTCTGGAGGTGGGGGCGGGGGCGCTCCCCCAATCCTGGCACCGGCAGGCGCAGGCGGTTGGAGGGGACGTCGCCCAGAGCCCCCCGGCCGGCCCACACACCCCCGTCCCCTTTCCGGCTCTACCGGGACCTCCCTGCGGGCCCCGGGGCAAAGCACCCAACTTCTCCCCCTCGGCTTCTAGCAGAAGCGGGACGAGGCTGGACTTTGATCGCCAAGGGCTCTCTGCTCTGCAGAGTCTGCTTGGAACCGGATAAGTGGGTAATTCCTTCTGATACATCCCCTCCACCCGGGCAGACACCCTACCCACCAAGCTTCCTCCTTTCCCAGCCATTCTCCCACCCTCCTGTTCTTTGATATTCACCCGTCCATCTTCCCATCCATTCATCCATCCTCTCACTCCTTGCTTCCATCTACTTCAGCCCCTAGGAGGGATGGTGCCAGCTAGGTAAGCTCTGCTGGGACCAGGCATAACTGCCATTAGGGGCCCCAAGAAATCACAGGTGAATGTTGGGAGAGGGGATTGAGGGCGTTCCAATCGAAAGGAGACGACAACAGGATGTATTAATTGCTAGAGCTCAGGGTCCTGGAAGGTGGGTCTGGAGACCAAGGTCTGAGGCCTTGTTCACCTCTGACCTGCTAGGTGACCCTGGGAAAGTCCCCGTGAGCCCCAGCTAACAATATCTGTGTGTCTGAGGATGTTGCACTGAGTCCTTCCTGGCTGGTAGGACCAAAGCTGGAGAATGTAAAATGATGGAGACACTTCCTATAGGACTGAAATAGAAGCGGCTGCACCAGCTTTGTTTCTCCCGCCATCACCCCCACCCCCCATCTATAGTAGTGTGTGACTATTGGGGACTGTGAATAGAAAGCAGGACAGAGAGGATCCACAGAGCCCTTTAAAATACAGTGATCGGAGAAAAAGAAAACTTTCTTTCATGTTTCTTCCTTCCTCAAGTTCATGGCATACATGGGCCTGCTCGTCTCAGCTGTCATAAAAGCCCAGAGTTCTCGTAAATACCAAATTATTCAGTATTCCAACCTACCGAGGATCTAGTACGTGATAGGGACTAGGGACACAGCAGTGGCTAGAGATTTTTCCTACCTTCATTAGCTAACGGTCTAGACCAGAATTGCCCGGTTGAAATACAGTGCCAGCCACATGTGCAGCCACATTTAAAAAGTAGAAACAAGTTAATTGTTGATAATTATTTTTATTTAACCCAATATATCCAAAATATTTCAACATGTAGTCAGTATTTTAAAACTATGAGATATTTTATATCCTTTTAAAACTGTATAACTATTCAAAATCTGGTGTCTTTTACACTTAACAGCACATCTCAATTCAGACAAGCCACATTCCAAATGCTTACTAGCCATATGCCGCTAGTAGCTACATGTTAGACATCTTGGATCTAGGAGGGAAGGCAAATAAAATAAATAAATTATTTATCAATGGTCCCAGTTTTCTATGACAGAAACAAAGCAGACAGGGAGCACTTCTCTGAATAAGTGACATTTGAGCTGAGAGTGATATATAAGAAGGACCCAACCATTTAAAGAGTGGAAAGCCAGGCTCGGTGGCTCATGTCTGTAATCCCAACACATGGGGATACTGAGGCGGGAGGATCATTTGAGCTCAGGAGTTTGAGACCAGCTTAAGCAGCATACTAAAACCCCATCTCTAAAAGAAATTTGGCTGGGTATGATGGCTCACGTCTGTAATCCCAGAACTTTGGGAGGCCAAAGCAGGAGGACTGTGTGAGCCCAGGAGTTTGAGACCAGCCTGGGCAACACAGGGAGACCCTGTCTTTACAAAAAAAAAAAAAAAAGTAGCCGGGACCTGTAGTCCCAGGTAGTAAGCTGAAGTGGGAGGCTGCGGTGAACCATGATCGCACCACTGCACTCAAGCCTAGGTGACAGAGTGAGACCTAGTCTCAAAAAACTAAAAAATTACACGCACACAAAAGAAAAAGAGTGGAGAGAGTATTTCCAACAGAAGGAACAGCATGGGCAAAGGCCCTGTGATAGGAATAGCTTGGACCTTGTAAAAAGCCAGAGGGACTGGAGTAGAAGGAGCCATGGAAGCTGTTAAGAGATGAGGCTAAAGAGGACGGCTGGGGGCCGGAGCATGCAGGACCATATACGGCCATGATCGGGGGTTCAAGTTTTTCTTCTCTTCTGTCTGATAAAACCCAACAAGAAAATTTAACCTGGGAGGCCAGGTCATCTGATTTATTTAAGTCAGATACTTCGTTCGACCCCTCACTGAACTTTTTTTTTTGTGGAGGCCACTGCAGCAGCTCAGGTCAGAGACGATAGTGCCCTGGAACAGGGTGGGACCCGAGAAGCTGGAAAGAACTCAGCATATATGAATATTTTGGCAGGGCAGCTGAAAGGACTTGCAGATTGATTGGATGTAGGGGGAAGGAAGGAATTCTAGGATGGTTCCCAGGCTTCCTGCCTTGAAAGTCACTACCTGTGTCACAGAAATGAAAGCAAGGGTGTTCACCAATTCAACAAATGCTTATTGGGCACTGAGCTATACAAGGACAATTGTGCCAAAGATGTGCTGACTTAAGTTCCCCCAAATGCCCAACCCGTGTATGGGCCTGCCTAGGTTCACAGAGCTGTAAGGCCAGGGATGGTGTAAAGAAATGCTGGTGCCGGGTGCAGTGGCTCATGCCTGTAATCCCAGCACTTTGGGAGGCTGAGGCGGGAAAATCGCTCGAGCCCAGGAGTTGGAGACCAGCCTGTGCAACATGGCAAAATTCTATCTCTACAAACAAACTAAAACCAAAAATTAGCCGGGCGTGGTGACATGAACCTGTAGTCCTGGCTACTTGGGAGGCTGAGGCGGGTAGGATTGCTTGAGGTTGAGGCTGCAGTGACCTGTGATCACATCACTGTACTCCAGCCTGGGGGACAGAGGGAGAACCTCTCGAAAGGAGGGAGGGAGGGAGGGAGGGAGGGAAGGAAGGAAGGAAGGAAGGAAGGAAGGAAGGAAGGAAGGAAGGAAACACTGACAAAGGAGCCTGAAGAGTAGCTTCTTACCATGGCCCTGGCCTTAGCAGCTCCGTGATCCTAGGCAGGTGAGCCAATGTCCCTTTCTCCACCCATAGAGGGGCAATTATAACAGTCCTTAGTATTCCTCCTGGGTGTTAAGGGGGAAGACAAATTGCGTGTAGGAAAGAATTCTTTCAAGTTAAAAGCCCATATGTGTTATTAGACCTAACACATTTAATATTTATGTACTGTTCAGCGTTTTTGGAAGTATTAGTTATTACAAAGTCCAATCTGTCTTAAATCATGAAATGACCATTTTACAAAAACAATAACAGGAAGATGCTAAAATGTGGGTCTCACCCTGTCATTCACTTGCTTAAAGCCCTTTAGTGGATTACTGTGGTAGGCAAAATAATGGTCCTTCCCAAAGGTGTCTACACTCTAATTCCCCAAAACTGAACATGTTATTTTACATGGCAAAAGGGAATTAAGGCTGCAGATGGAATTAAAGTTGCTAATCAGCGGATTTTTTTTTTTTTTTTTTTTTTTGAGAGGGAGTCTCACTCTATCACCCAGACTGAAGTACAGTCTTAGCTCACTGCAACCTCCACCTCCCGGGTTCAAGCTATTCTCCTGCCTCGGCCTCACAAGTAGCTGGGATTACAGGCGCCCACCACCATGCCTGGCTAATTTGTGTATTTTTAGTGGAGATGGGGTTTCATCATTTTGGCCACACTGCTCTCAAACTTCTGACTTCAAGTGATCCACCCACCTTGGCCTCCCAAAATGCTGGGATTACAGGCAGGAGCCACCACACCCAGCCAGAATCAGCTGATCTTGAGATGGGGAGATTGTCCTGGATTATTCAGAGGGGCCCAACATAATCACAAGGGTCATTGTTAGTGAAAGAGGGAGGCAGGAGAGTAGGAATCAGAGGGGATGAGATGACGGAAGCAGAAGTCAGGGTGGTGTAATTGCTGAGTTTTCGGCTGGAAGGGGGCTCACGGCCAAGGAATGCAGGTGGAAAAGGCAAGGAAACAGAGCTTACAAAAGAAACTCAACCCTGCCAACACCTTCATTTTAGCCCAGTGAGACCCATTTCAGACCTCTGACCTCAAGAACTGTAAGATACTATAATTTGTGTTGTTTTAAGTCACCAAGTTTGTTGTAATTACAAGCAGCAACAGGAAATCCATACACTCACCAGCGCTCTTAGGAAAATGTCCAATCTGCTTAGCACGGTGCACAAGGAGGCCTTCTGCGATGTGGTTTCTGCCACTGACTTTGTGCAAGTTTCTTAACTTCTCTGGGCTTCAGTTTCATCATCTATAAAGTAGAGAGGAAGAAAACCCTCTGTAGGTCTGTAGTAAGATTATGATGAGAGGACATATTTCAAATACCTAGCAGAGAGACTAGAATACAGTACATTATTACTATTGCTACCACTGTCACTACTATTATCAGGGAGCAATTGACAGACTAGGAACCCTTGTCTCTACTCCCCTCCCTAGGGCTATGTTTCACATCTGTGAAAAACGAAACAAGACCAAGCGGGTTTGGTAGCCTCGTCTCTCGCCTCTTCTCCACTCTTTCCTAGTTACTCACCTGTGTCATGCTTTGCTGTGACTTCCAACTTTGCATATGCTGTTCCCTCTGCCTGGAATGCTCTTCCCATCCTCCTTACCAAGCTAACTCCCATTTCCTCCTGGAAGTCTTTACTGACCCCTATTAGACTTGCTTAGATCCCACTAGTACGTATTCTCAAAGCATGCTAAACTTCCTCTATCATATTATTGCTATGGCCTGTGTGTTTTTCGTTTGGAAAAAAATCTTAAACCCAGGTAGGATACTTTGACCTATTTGCTTCAATTGTGTTGTTTAAACAAAACAAAAATATTCTAAATAAACTTGAAGTAGTTAAGTTCCTCTCTCCCCACTTCCTTCACTTCTCTCCCCAGAGGCAACCGCTATCATGAATTTGGTGCATATCTTTGACAGGTGGGTATACTCACCACTATACTCATGAGGATGGGCTATGGTACTTTTGAGTCTGTGCTTTTAAACTCTTACTACCTATATATCTAAAAGAATATGAAATAGACTTTTAAATGTGTTTATAATTAACACAAATTGTAACCTTTAAAAAACATTTCTCATTTTACAACTTTCTTTTATTCACTCAACAATAGATTTTGGGGATATTTACATATTGATATAGCTCTGGATCATTCTTATCACTGTATGGTATTTCA